GCAGGCGTCAACTTCTTTCTCAGATTCCAGCTTCCACCCTTCTTTTGCAGCATCTTCGCCGACACCCCTACCGTCATATCTACTACTACTATAACTACTATTACTACTACTACTACTACTACTAATAATAATAATAATAATAATAATAAATCTACTATAGCCACCGACAACGTTTTAACCTCCGCCATCATCAGCTCCACAAACATGTTATATTACAACGAGGATTACTAATACTACTACTATTAATGCTATGCAGAAAAGAATTACTACTACTACTACCTCAGCTGTTATTACCGACTATAACTGCCACTAACACTATAGCCAGTGCGATTTTGACTCGACTGATGCTACAACTACTATCACTAATACTACTACTACTACTCCTTCTACAAGAGAAAGAGAGAGAGAGAAAGAGATTACAAAGCCGACAAGGGCTACCATTGCCAGTGATACACTACGACTGGTTCTGCTAGGGCGACTTCTATTATTACTACTACTACTACTATTACAACCAGAGTACGGTGTCGTTTCTTCTATATTATACAAGTGTTTTCTCTTTTTTTCTGGCGTGATCGGCCTCCTTACTGGGTTTGTTTCAGAAATATGATTTCGGCTTTCATGACAGTAGCCTGTATATCTGGAGAAATTCTCTACTGATACTCTTTTCAGAGCGTTAACACTGGATTCCTTGGATAAATACTTCGACTACCGTAGAACGCAATCTCCCTACTCTCATAAAATATGGAACTAATTACGGGGATATTAACAATTTTATACTGTGTTGACATCGCTTTTGGTAAGTATTTTTGCTCTAAGCACGTAAGTAAAAATAAGTTTCGATAAAGCACACCAAACAAAGCAAATGAATAATAACAATATTTACTGACACAGGGTCAACATCATAGGTACACATACATATATACCTTTATACATACATATATATATATACATATATATATATATATATATATATATATATATATATATATACGCATAAGGTGAACAAAATTTTTAATGACTTTCTTTTTTTTAGTATATTTTATTTTATTTTCGTTCGAAGAGCATTCTTTTCTTTTTTTATTTCTTGCAATCAAAATGCAAAAAAAAAAAAAAAAAAAAATGGGTATTTTAAATGTGACATTACTTATCAAACACTTTCATATCGACAGCGCACAAGTCCATGTAGACACGTTTGCGAACTAGATTTTAAAAAAAAAGCCTACACTCCTTCTCTTTCCAAAATATACCTACCTACCTACCTTATCAACAAAACATATCTGCTTCATATATTCGATATCGAAGGTTTGCTTAAGGCGTTGAGAGTATATATATATATATATATATATATATATATATATATATTTATTATATTATATTGTCCTTTTTCACTTATTAAAATCAAATACAACCAAACAACCCCGACTGTTCTTACAGACAGTACACACACGCAGATCTCTTGTTTATATTGATGTGTACATAGTCCTTTAAATATATTCAGTGCTGCTTAGCTTATGATAATGTACTGTTTGTCATGTAGTTAAAGGAAAGCAAACTATTAATTCATTTCCACCGTCGATTTCTGATCCCTGACAAGAACATTACTCGAAATGTCTCTTTTTTTTTCTTACCTTTATATGGTCTGTTATTATATTTATCATAACTGCCACTCAGCTTTTACAACTAAGAATTGAAATCTAGGTGCAAGAATTACATACACTCGGAGTTATACCAGAGGTGCCAATTCAGATTCTAATCAAAACAAATATGTTGCTTCTTAGCAATGCCAAAAATGCTAAATATAATTATTTTACGACAACAATGCCATCATTTTCTTTCTTTTTATTTATTTTTTTAATCAAATATTGATTGCATCTTCAATGAAATATATGATGCTCTCTCGATGTAAAATAAATGCAATATTTAGTCATTTAAAAAATAACATTAAAGATTTTAAAACATTGCTAAATTTGCTATAGAATAACAAAGGTATGGAAATTCTGTGTGCAGCAAAAAAGCGAAAATCCAGGCTAAAAGGAAAATTATAGAAACTGAAGAGAGATTTGCCGAACGTTTAGTCTTTCAGTGGATTATCGTTAAGGTTTTTTTTTTTTTTCTTCGACTGGGAGAAGTAGTCTATAGATTAATGAAGATTAAACTTATATATTAATGGATTTGGGATTTAGACGACAGTTCCCATTTTGTTTTTGCCTTTTAATTTTTTTTGTTCTTAATCTTCGATTGCTTTATTCTTCCTGGTTGTCCTCATGACAAAACAACAAATTTAACAGTTGGCGAAAGTAGAAGCGCCATTTTATAAAGTTTCTCCAAGTCTCTTCACTTCTACATTGGATTCTACAAAAATTTCGGGTAAATAATTGACATTTCCGAGTTTGCAGCGATGAGACTGATTTCGGTAAAAGTAAAACTATAAACCTAAACATATAATTTGATGATACCTTGGATTTAAAAAAAAATACAATAAAAAAAACTACACTGATAGAAAAATAAATAATAACACTTTAAGTTCATGCATCGAAACATTGGATCTTTAACAATCTCCGTCCTCAGATGAAATTCGTTTATTTTCTTGATTTACTTCCATTCCAACTATCAACGCCACACATACACAAACATGCATATACGCGTATGCGAATGTGTATGCACGCGTGTGTGTGTGCGCGCGCTTCGCATGTGAATGTATACGTTGGTAGATAGATAGATAGATAGATAGATAGATAGATAGATAGATAGATAGTGTTGGTCTATAATGGTATAAATTTCGTAAGTGAAACAGGAATATGAAAAATATTAATGGAATATATATATAAAGAAATCTGAATTTAAATTAGAAAGCTAAAAGTAAGCTTTCGCGCGCGCGCCCACACACACACACACACACACACACACACACACACACACACACACACACACATATATATATATATATATATATATATATATATATATACTGGAATCTAATCGTAAAATCATGCAAACGAAATAGCTAAGAGGGATCCCTTTCAAACTCATCCAGGACTGTTTCCGGGAACGAAAGTACGGACAAGGCTTGAAATACGGATATTACACAGAGTCCTTTCTGATACACGCGTACTAATACATATACACACATAGGAAAACAGAAATTATACTTATATATGGAAGCTTGAACACATGTAAATTTATATCTACATATATCTAACTGTCGAATTCGATTGTTAATTTCCTTATAAATCATTATCTTTCTATAGTATTTATTAACTTTACTTTTACACTCCAATCAAACATTTTAACAGTACAGCCGACAACATTGCCATTAACAGAATTACTGCGATCATTATTATTATTATTATTATTATTATTATTATTATTATTAGCATCAACTCCAATATGAAAAAGTAGTCTCACTATTATTTAAAACATGTTTGTTTTACCATTTCTATATTTCATCGCGCAAGCTCGACTTAGAGAGCAGGAGTTTGTATAAGTCCAATGACTATTTGTCAGATCGATCCATTGACCTGTCCAGCTTACAATCGATGTATCGATTTTGGTATCGGTCCGGCAATAAAATAAAGAGCATGCATACACTCGCGTGTATGTGTGTTTGTGCATTTTTAACGATACGTGTGTGCGCGTGTGTGTGTTGTGTGCGTCTTTTTCAACGCCTTGCAACATTCTCAATTTAATTTAAATTTTGCAGTGTGACAACAGTAAGTTTTATAGCAAATACATATATGTGAAAGAAAAAGACACGTGCACGTACACACTATATCACTGTATTATCTATCTATCTATCTATCGTATTCAGTTCATTATCTATCTATCTATCTATTTGATCTATCTATCTATATCATCTATCTATTTATCTGTATTCAGTTCATATCTATTCATTCTAGATAGATAGATAAATGAACTGAATTAGGATAGACAGATGAGATGAATAATAGATGAATATCAACGTCTTCAGATACACATATACGCAGATACATAGAAGACATTTCATGTAGAAATATATGAACAGACTGCGGTGCATGAATAGATTGATATATATGAACGTCTTCAAACAGATAGATAGATAGATAGATAGATGAATGAATAGATAGATAGATGGATGATAGATAGATAGATAGATAGATAGATAGGAAGGATCAAAAACAGTAACTATGGATATTGGCGGCCACCATGTGCGAGAACTTGTCTGGACGAATTATTTTATTGATATTATTAAAAACTTTCTAACATTGATATGGCTTTAATGAAAATGTAGTTTAGATTATCTATAACAAATGACGACTGGGATTAATCCTTGTATGCGGTTTTAAAAAAGTCTCTTTCAAGATAATATTTAATTAATCTTACACACGCACACACTACGCACATGCATTATGTATGTATGTATTCATGTACGGATAGATAGATAGATAGATAGATAGATAGATAGATAGATTATGAAAGACTTAGATAGATAGATAGATAGATAGATAGAAAGAAAAGAAATGGACATGATAGAAAAGAAATGGACATGATAGATAGATAGATAGAAAAGAAATGGACATGATAGAAAAGAGATAGATAGATAGATAGATAGATAGATAGATAGATAGATAGATAGATAGATAGATAGATAGATAGATAGAGGGAGGCACCTCTACGTGGTGTAATGGGTAGGTTGCTTGTCTTGTTAGATCAATTACGGCTGAGTTGTGAGTTCGATCCTCACTGGGTTCCCATTACTTTCGGTGTTGTGCTTTACATAGAAAATCATTACAGATAGTCGTTTAACTGATTTAGATTGATAGAGATTCCGTAATACTCTGGGGTATGCACACAAATATATTGCAATATAGTTGCTCTTGAAATTTTAAGGAACACAGGTTTTCATGCATGCATCTATACATATGTATTTGTATGCATGTTCTATGCTGTACAAACCTATTTAAAGATCTATATGCGTTTATCCATAATTCTATACTGGTAATAGATTTTAATATGCGAAACAC